TGAAACTCCATTGAGTGTAGAACCTAGGCAGCAGCCCAGGGGCCAAGACTCAAGAGCACTCCAGCTCTTGTGGGCTGCCAATTTGAAATGCTTAATTTTCATAAAGGGGGCCCCATAGTTTTATTTATTGTGGGCCCAGCACCTAAGGAGCCTGTCCCACGTGCCTTGTTTTGTTCATATCCTTCAGGTGTATGTTCAGGAAAGTACGAGCAGGACAAAATGTACCAGAAGCCCGTGGTCAATGGCAAAAAATCATAGGTCAGGTTCACCTCCTTTCAACAATCGAAAGCATGCAGTGCAACCCCCAGTGCGCCTTGTTGGTGTTTGCACACGTGGTTTAAATATGAGATGGCAGGCATCGTGTGCTTACGAAGCTATTTCAACAGTAACACACGCACACACACCTTCATACTAGAACTTGCACAACTCAGAACCTGCAGTTTATTCACTAGAACCTCTTAAAGGAATAAGCAAACTGAAGTAGCCTTTTGCTTGGGAGCCCATCTATTTCTCCTCAGATAACTGGTTGTGAAGAGCCTCCTGCACAGCATGGACTCCAGGAAGATGCTGACACGCATGTACATTTCAGTAATGGTCAGAGGTAGATGGCCTCAACTGTGACTAGATATTGATTTTCACCCTCAGCCCTTTAGCGTCAAAATATAGGGAGGTGTGCTCATGCATATAAGGCATGCTGGTGTGTGGAGCTCATTCAGACTCAGTGGCCCCACGTGACAGGGCGGGATTTCCCCACAGAATTACAAGGCCATGATCTTTATCGGGGGAGATGACCAGGACTTTCTTCTGTGAAGCTGCACAGGGGGTTCGAACTGCTGACCTGTCAGTTAGCATCTGAGCACTTACCCAGGATGCCACCAGGGCTCCTATGTATAAATCCATAAGCTCATGTAAAAACTTCCAAAACTTGTCCAGGGCCATCTTTGCTGAAACGTAATCAGGTTATTTTACTCACTGGCAATGCTTCAATGGAGAGGCTTGCTTTATATGCAATTGACCTATGACAATATTGTTCGTACTGATCAGAATTAAATTGTTTAGAGCAGAGTTTTTAAATGAAATGTAAATAGCACTAAGTATTTCCTCCCTGCAACCTGTACTTAATAGATTCTTTCTGTAAACAAGTAAATTAAAAATATATACATGCAAAAAAAAAAACCTTCCAGAAGCCCCTAATAATTTTCAAGGTGCTGCCTCAATTACTGGATATTAAAAGTCCCATTATTGGGGGAGGGAGGGGAAAAAAGAAGAGCGGATACCAAGGACTCAAGCAGAAAGAAAATGTTTTGGAATGTTGATGGCAACTTATGTACAAGAGTGCTTCATACAATTCAATGATGGATTGTTATAAGATTTGTAAGAGCCCCCAATAAAATGATTAATAAAAATAATAATCATAATAAAGAGGGGGGAAAGTTCCATTATTATCTTGAACTGTGAGGTTCAGAGCCTTTTGTTTCAGTCAAGGACTGGGAACCAGTGATCCACCATCTTGCTACTGCAAGGCAGGTCCCTGAGCAGCAGCAGCAGCAGTATCCCTAAGGCAGGGATGCACCATCTACTTCAGCAGGTCTGCCCTGGGGCCCAATATTCTGGGTAAAGCCAAGCTAGGAAAGCATGCAGAATACTGGGCCCTGCAGGTGGATGAGTTAGAATCTAGATTTTGACAAGATTCCTAGTTGATGCATTTGCACATTCAATCTGAGAAGCCTTGCTCGAGACCAGTCCAAGGAAGCACCGGCTGAAAGGCGGTGACCACACGGGTTTCCATGTAAATCCCACACGGGTTTCCATGTAAATCCCACATGTAGAACAATTGCCTTCAAGTATTTCCACAGAGCTGGTCTTCGCCGTCGGTCTTCCTAAAGATGTCAGGGCTTCCTCTTGTTTGATTTGCAGTAGAGGGAGTCATGGGCAGGAAAGCATATGCAAGTTGCCAGCTTTGCCTACTGCACACACTCTCTGATATCGCAGACATGCTCCTGGCACAGCCACAGAGAAGCCAATTTGGTAACATGTTCCAGAACCTTAAAATGATCTTTGGGGCATCCCTCATTTCTGCCAACCCAGCCCCACTCTTTATGGTAGCAGACTCACCTTTCTTTTCCAAAACCCCTTGTGCCCATTCCCAGACCACAAGGATTGGATTGGGTTCACCCCAGCCACCCACACCCACTCCCTGACTACAGAGGCGTGCAGCCCGTGACCTGAGCCTGGTTGAATACAGTCCACGGGCATGGTTTCAGCAATGGGACAGTGACCAAATCAGATGGACCCTAACCAGCCCCTACGCTTGCTTGTGGTGGGGAGTGGGTGGTGTAAGGAGGGGAGGCACAAGACAGGAAAAAGATAGAAAAAATAAAACTGGGCCATCTCTTTCCACCACATGAAGAAGACCTGCCACCGAGATAATACTGGGGTATAACTTGCCAATGCGGTCATACTCAAAGACATGGGTCCTATACCTAATCACTTTGGGAGTATAATTATGAGAGCAGATTAGACACAGACACATGAAGGAAGACAGGCATCACATGAGGGTCCTCTCCCCACAGAGGGTTCAGAGCTACCAACAAAGAAGCATCATCTAAGACTCGAATGTGGACTCTCAGCCTCCAGAACGCTGAGAAAGCCAATGTCTCTCCTTGAAGGGCACCTATTTGTGATGCTTACACTGCAGTGCCTTTAGGTAACTAAGACAGTCGTGAGCAAACAATCAAAGCTATATACAAAGATCTGTTTAAGAGACTATAGAAGTTTATTCAGGAGGCATTACTAGTCCTTAAGTGATGTACTGTAATAGCAACATGAAATCGAATATTAACTAGAAAAGTCATGGCAGCAGACTGGCGTGAAATACTTTGGGTACCACATATAAAATGTTCCGTTACTTGAAAGAATCACTTGGTTCCTTCAGTTAATGTTAAAGAATTTTTTTATATTGTTGTCAATTGCTACACGATGAAAGCATCCCCTTTTTTTTTTT